AACCTTTCATGCTATATCTGTAGTTGCCTTTAATATGGTGAAATACAGTACAGTAGTATAGATAGATAGCCTGAAGCTTAGATAGAAAGATAGAACAAATCATCATCACCATCCAAATCATACAGCCATTTTGCACACCATCTCTTGCAGTCTGTCTTGTCAGGTTCTAAGATCATTTCTTACAATCTCTCCCCATGTCATTCTTGGCCACCTACCACTGGCTCTCCTCGTTACCACATTTAGAGTCATGCACCACTTAACCCAGCTGGTCTCATCCATTCTCTCCCCACTCCCAATCTCAGTCTACTTATACGTAAATCTTGGCCGATACTCTCAATACCCAGCCGTCCTCTTAGCTCTGAACGGTGATTCTTATCTTTCAGCGTCAAGGTACACATCCACCTCACCATTCTCGTTTCAGCTCACTCAAGACTGCATGTGTCAACCTTTTTAACTGCCCATGTTTCACGGATATATAACACCATACTTCTCACACCAGTTGTATACATTCTTCCTTTCATGTGATGGGAAAGTCCTCGTGCTGACAATAAAGACAACAGTTCCCTAAACTTCCTCCAGCCATTTCTATCTTTTGAAAATGAACAGCACCCCATCCAGCACTGATCATGTCACCCAGGCAGCAGAACTCATCCATGACTCACAACACAGCAGCCTTCAGCACCCTCTCCAGCACTGATCATGTCACCCAGGCAGCAGAACTCATCCACACAGTCCAGGGATAATTTTCAGTGTTGAGTTTCTTCAGTCTTGCTGTGGATACATATACAACACTTACTGTACAGTCAGCAACATCCAGCAGTCTGCCATCCACTCCACTGTATCTCTCATGTACCCACCTTCCTCACTCACTGTACCTCTTGTGTACAGTACCCACCTTCCTCACTCACTGTACCTCTTTTGTACCCACATTCCACAGAAACTTGTATACATAAAGACAGTCTGACAGATGATATAGATACCAAACAGACAGACTGACTGACATACAGGTATTGAAACATTGATAAAAAGATATAGAGATAAAGATACATAAGGATAGACAGTTAGACATACCTAGAAAAACACAGACAGACAGACATAAAGACATACCTGTAACAGCAGTGTTTCCAGGATCCAGTTGTTAATTTCTCAAGGGTTTAGTCATAACTCATCTGTAACAAACAAACAAAAAACATTTAATATATACAACAGTTTAAATATGTCCATAAATTAATAGTCATTCATTACAGAAGTTGTTTGTTTTATGCAAGTTTGGTTTATGTCAACTTTCTTGGGACTGTAAACCTTCCATGCTTGACAAACTCTGTCACTTTGGCCTTAATATTCCCAGCTAAATTAGTGTTACATTAATACAGTAGTTTAGACAGATAGACAGGTAGATATACAATAGAATCCCAGTTATCCAGCACCTACAGGGATTGACAGGAGCCAGATTAACAGGTTTTACCCATTACTGTAGTGTAAACTACCTCTTGAGATCCACCAACAGATCCTACAGTACACAGTGCTACAGGCTGACCTAGCTAATTTATGTCTCATAAAACAGAATTCTTTAACTCTTATTCAACTCTATATAAATGATGTGGCTCATAAATAAAGAAAATATAACATAAAACTTCACAAAGGTAATAATTTACATACTGATTAAGGATCTGTTCACAGTTTAATAATTCAAGAAATTAGTGTTAATTAATGACCTTTTGATTAATTAAAGATATTTGGAATAATTCAAAAGTCAATTACTGTACACTGTGGCTGCAAATTTTAAGTCACCTCTATATACATTCTCTAAATAATAAATAGATACAGACAGATATTGGTAAGCCATATGGATAGACATATTGACAGACTGACAAATACTTATTGATAAATATTTGGACAAATATAGATAAATCTGACTGAGATATATGTATTGATAGATAGATATTGGTAGATAATGGATAGATAAATAGATAGATATACTGAAAGACAGACACACAAACATATATAAGCAGTTAGAATAATTAGTAGTTCCCAACCTCTTCTGTTCTGTGACCCCCATACAAGATGTGATAACTACTGTTGCATATTAATTGTTACCGCAAGCAGTAATGAGTAGGATGACACATAAACAAACATTATGTTAGGCTGTAAGTCATGTCATGTTTATTGGGTGTGTCTGCCAGTATACAGTGTGTAGTGTGTTGAAGTGGTGGAGATGAGAGGCCCAGAGGAGGTTGGGGTGTGTAAGGGGAGCTTGTTTATGTATAATCACCTGACTCAGCCCTCGCCAACCAGCGAGGGTTGGGCAGGCGACCAGGCTGGCACTGTAGTTATCCATATCATAGAGGCAACACCTAACCTGGCTTCTCTCTAGACTTTCAACACATAAGTTTAACTGGTACTTATTGTGTACACGGGTAGACTGTGTCCACTGCATCGTTTATAGTTGTGACAACATAAAATATGGCAAATTAAGTACAGTACTCATTGTAAGTGTTAAGATTAGACTAATTACATAACTATGATTGTTATGCAAATATATATTGGATTAAACATTTATGTATGATTGCCTATATATGATTTATCTGAAATACTAAAATGAATTGTATTCAACAGGTTTGACCGAATTATAAAGTTCGAGTTTAACGTGAAGAGTCTGATTAACCTTTAAACGCTCAGAAAGCGTTTACATTAATACAGCATAAAATTATGTTTCACATTGAACAATACAGAGGAAACAGTTTCTATGATGTGCATTCAATTAGACAGAATATAATATCCTCTGCTATTTTTGTGAAATTTGGTTCAAATTTAGTAAAAGCTGCTACAACAACTGTCATTTTTATGATTGTTAGTGAGTTTTAAGAGGTACAGTACAGTACAGTACAGTACTTGCTGACCCCTGGCTTAAACTCTGGTAGGGGGGTGAAGCATTGTTTAGTTTTGTTATGAGCTCACATGGTTTAAATTACCCCCATGGTCAACAGGCTGGGAACCACTGACTCTTAAATATATAGAAAGATATAAAAAAACAGACAGACAGACAGACAGACAGATGACTAACAGCAGCACAGTTACAACAATTTGTCTTAAGAGTTTGACAGACACAAAGATTTTCTGTATAGGCCGAGAGAGCTGTTCCTATAGTTTACCTTGCCATAGGTGGTGGTGGTGATAGTGGTGGTGGGAGCTATTGTTCCATGCTCCAGTTATCATTTTCATCTGTTATGGATCAGTTCAATTTCCCAAAGTTTTGTTATAACACCTACTCCTGTAACAAACAAAATATTATATTTACTATAAACAACTTGGTTAGGTTAGGTTAGGTTTTTTAGTTTTTTGAGGGTTTAAGATTGTTTAACCTCCCACTTTTTCTCCAATATCTCAACTACTGGTCATTTATAACAACAATTAAGGTCATATTTAACACGATTATTAACACGATAATAACATATTTTCAATGTTCAGTTGTCTGGTGGCAACTTGTATATATTGACCCAGTAAAATAATGCATAAATACATTTAATAAACAACTACAGTATAAATTACAGTAAATCAGTCAGTATTAATACAGTTTGGGCCAATATACAGTCGAACTTTACATTTCATTATTATTTATAACACTATTTCAACCACGGGACAAAGACTAATAACTTCAGAAATTAATTATAAAGTTTTTCTATACCTTTGGGGGAAATAACTATAACGGGAAATTTCTCCCGGGGACTAAAGGTCAAATTAGATTAAACACAGAATAATATAATTTCTCAAACTACTGTACTTGGTCATATTGGCTTACCGGTAAACTGGTAATTTTACCCAAATAGTCATATAACCCGGGTGCTGGACAACTCGTACCCAAGCAAATCAAACCATCAGAACATGTCAAGTCGTACCCAATTTATGAGACAGTTCGTACCCATATATACAGTACAGTATAGTATACGAATATACTGTATATAGTAGCGTATAAGTCGACCTTATTATTTTCAGGTTAAAGTTTGAATTAGGCCTATTCTTGGAGTACCGGTATAAGTTGACCTTATTATTTTCAGGTTAAAGTTTGAATTAGGCCTATGGGTCGGTATAAGTTGACCTTATTATTTTCAGGTTAAAGTTTGAATTAGGCCTATTCTTGGAGTACGGTATAAGTTGACCTTATTATTTTCGGGTTAAAGTTTGAATTAGGCCTATTCTTGGAGTACGGTATAAGTTGACCTTATTATTTTCAGGTTAAAAGTTTGAATTAGGCCTATTCTTGGCATATGATCGACAGCAGACTTCCAAGCTACAGTATAAATGGGTTTCAAAAGACTCAAAATAATGAGATCTAAATGATTCAGTAGTTTAAAACTTTTGATTAGCTATATCAGAAGTACAATACCTCTGATGCTTGTTCTTTATAACTTTACCAGACAATTGGCAGTGCTGGCACTCAACGAAGTAAGGAAAACACCGTGATTATGAAGAAATTGGATAGCTGTCATCTTTCTCGTTAAAACTCAGAAATTAACTTAAAATAATCATAGGAGTATGATTCACAAACAACCTCTACCACAGCCATTGGTACACTGGTCATTTAAATTTAAATCCTTCAAATCCGTACCTTGGATCCTCCTTTTGAAAAAAAAATTTTGATTGGTTGAAAAATTAGCGTGATGAGATCGATACATCATTGGTCACGACTGGAAGACGTCCGCGCATGCCGATGTAAACACGCGCTCATAATTAGCTCGCTTTCACGACGATAACGTCTCACAGGCGAAGACTGAAAACTATGTTAAATCAATTAAATTCAATCGTTCACTATTATCCATTTAGGCCTGATATACATGGGGTTCAAATACTCAGAATAGCCACATGTAAATGTTTAAATAGTTTATAACTTTGGGGCCACGATATATCTTAAGTGAAATAATACCAGTTAACTATTTTGGGTATGACCTGTTGTAGTGGATTCACCTCTACAACGCCGTTTGTTGCTGAGTAGCCGACCCTTTTTGAATTCCCCAGCCTGCACCTCCAGCGCCGCCTGATGGAGGTCAACTATCAACCCGCCTACCTCACCTCACCCTGCGGTCACCACCCTCTCTCTTTCTACCTCGGCCACCAGCGAGCAACACCTCTTCCTCCGCACCCGGCCTTGGCGTCCCTCAAGCTGCGTGCCCTCCTCTGGGCATCCTCACCAACCAGCTCTCTCAACTCAACGCTTGTAACCATGCTGCCTTCCCAGCACCAAGCTGCATGTACATCAATACAATATGTATTCAGAGAGCACATTGTGAGTTCCTTTCTCCATCCCATCCTGAGTGTGAACCATTCTTATAACCCTCACTGTCTTGAGTACGACTTGTTGCTTGGGTACGAGCTGTCTGGGTACAGGCTGTCTTGGGTACCAGCTGTCTTGGTACCAGCTGTCTTGGGTACAGGCTGTCTTGGGTACCAGCTGTCTTGGGTACAGGCTGTCTTGGGTGCAGAGTTAACCCTAACCCATATAAGCCCTGCCCACATGTTCAACACTTTCCTTGTCCAAGATAATTATGGTCACAACAATCATAAGACTCATCTCACCATAATAATATACACATTAATCCTAACTATACACATTAATACAACTATACACATTAATACACAACCATTAACCTCACGACTCACCAGGTGTTGTTTACCTGGGGACCGAGGACAGTCATTACTAACCCTTCCGTCTGTCAGTATAAAAGAGTTTTTTACCTTATATTTATTGTTTAATCACTGTTAAAATTAAAGTTATTCTATAATATTATTAATTATCTTAAGTGTGTTTTGTTACTATGTGTTGTTTGTATTATGATTTAGTAATTTTATATAAGATCTCCCTCAATACAATATATCATTTAAGAAAAATTATATAACTTTTTAGTTGATTATTGATGACAATAATGTTTTTAACCATTTATTATATTAAAGTTTATTATATGATTATTGACGATAATAATGTGTTTTAACTATATTTTTACGATATTGAAATTTATTATATGATTATTGACGATAATTGTTTTCTCAACTATATTACTCTAATATGTCATGGAAGCCACATCCCAAGTTGCCTACTGAAAGCTGTACAGATGCCGTAGCTACTACTTTTACTTTTATCCTCTT